TCGCCACTCACCGTGGTGTCCGCTACACCTGCGCCAAGGGTGCCCCCAAGGCCGTTCTCGCCCTCACCGACTGCACCGAGGAGCAGTCCGCCCTCTTCAAGGAGAAGGCGGCAGAGTTCGCTCGCCGTGGTTTCCGTTCGCTCGCCGTCGCCGTCAAGGAGGAGGATGGCCCCTGGGAGATGCTCGGCATGCTGTCCCTCTTCGACCCCCCTCGCAGCGATACCGGTCAGACCATTATCGAGGCCCAGGCTCTCGGTCTCCAGGTCAAGATGCTTACTGGTGACGCCCACGCCATCGCCGTTGAGACCTGCCGCATGCTTCAGCTTGGTACCAAGGTTTACAACTCCGATAAACTTCTTCACTCCGACATGGCCGGCACTTCCATCCACGACCTTTGCGAGCGTGCCGACGGTTTCGCCGAGGTGTTCCCCGAGCACAAGTACCAGGTCGTCGAGATGCTCCAGCAGCGTGGTCACTTGACTGCCATGACTGGTGACGGTGTCAATGACGCTCCCTCCTTGAAGAAGTCTGACTGTGGTATCGCTGTCGAGGGTGCCACCGAGGCTGCCCAGGCCGCCGCCGATATCGTCTTCCTCGCCCCCGGTCTCTCCACCATTGTCTCTGCTATCAAGCTGTCTCGCCAGATTTTCCAGCGCATGAAGGCCTACATCCAGTACCGTATCGCCCTTTGCTTGCACTTGGAGATTTACCTCGTCACCTCCATGATCATCATCAACGAGACCATCCGCGCCGACTTGATCGTCTTCCTCGCCCTGTTCGCTGATTTGGCCACCATTGCCGTTGCTGTAAGTACCGTTTTTCTCATAAACATTCACTTCAATTTACTAATAACTCCAATAGTATGACAACGCCCACTTCGAGAAGCGTCCCGTTGAGTGGCAGCTGCCCAAGATCTGGATCATTTCCATCGTCCTCGGCTCTCTTCTCGCCGCCGGCACCTGGATCCTCCGCGGTACCATGTACCTCACCGAGGGTGGTGTCATCCACGACTACGGTTCCATCCAGGAGATTCTCTTCCTCGAGATCTCCCTGACCCAGAACTGGCTCATCTTCGTCACCCGCGGTTTCGAGACCTTCCCCTCCTTCCAGCTCATCGGCGCCATCGCCGCCGTCGACGTCCTGTCCATCCTCTTCTGCGTCTTCGGCTGGTTCTCTGGCGGCCGCGGCGAACCCGCTTCCCCTCCCTCGCTCAACAAGTTCCTGTCCGCCAACGGCCACACCGACTTCGTCACCGTCTGCGTCGTCTTCGTCTACTCCGTCGCCGTCACCATTGTCATGGCCCTCGTTTACTACGTCTTGACCAACCTCCAATCTCTCAACGACATGGGTCGCAAGAAGCGCAGCGTCACCGACACCCTCATCGAGAACGTCCTTACTCAGCTGAGCAAGGTCGCCCTCGAGCACGAGAAGGACGACAAGGGCGAGCGCTTCTACATTGCCAACCGCGCCGTCGTCGAGGAGGGCTAAGCGATGAGTCGAGAGGAGAGAGGTCAAAGCATGAAAGAAAGAAAAAAATCCACACAAAAATTAGATCATGTTTTAGGAGCGCGCGGCAGAGCAGTCACAAAGCGTGTTTTGAGGCATTGGTACACAAACAAAAAATCCATTTCTGAATCATTTTCATATCCCACTATAGACAAAGAGGAAGTCAATACTTCGGTGCGAGGAAGAGAGAAAGAAGACCACTAGCCAAAAGGGAAAGGCGAGGGACAAACCACCTAGATGACGCAACCTTGGTAATATTTGGCGACATCAACACGACTGTCACTAATGACCCATCTTCAAGAGCAGTTTTCTATAATGTATCAAAAGATCATGTTCATGGTTGTGGCGTTGATCGGGGTCAAGGTCGGTCGGTTAATTCAATCAAATCATTTGAACAACTTCAAACGCTCTCGCAAACTCATTGAATTGTGACTTTTACTTTCCACTATGCAAACTAAATCTGTGACTTTGAGATTGTACTATTATCAAAGGTCAAACATCTATCCATCGGGAGACTCCCAAGATGACCGGCCCGATCTGTCCAATATGGCGAAAAGACTCTCAGATCCCCAAAATAGCGAGCGAAGACCACCACACACCCTGGTCCTGTCCGAAAAGTTACACCTCATTGGGCCTGACGTCAAAGTCAGTCCGCAACTACGGCTGTTTCTGCAACGGACACTCGGACCACTTCATGCGTACGACACAGAACCTGTCTCCGCGTTCTTCGCCTTCTCTCCTCCACCTCTCCGACTTCCGGTCTTTTTCCCCGGGAGGGTTCACGTGTTGGTGGTCAATGTTCCCACCCTGGACGGTCAACATCCGTCCACCGGGACAGTTCGAGTCGGACGGAGTGAGGTGGGCGCGAGAAAGGCGAGAAGGACGGGGGTTATTTTTCCCCCGACACGACGCGCGGGAGTCCCGGGATGAGAGTTCAGCATGATGGCATTGAGACCGCTGGCATGCCCCCCTCTCCTCCCCCTCTCCTCCCCCTCTTCTCCCCTATGCGGTCGCCTGTGGTTACTCACTCACTCACTCATCTCTGCCACATTTTGGATGACGAAGACGATATTTTATTTGTATCAAAGCTTTTTTTTTCCCCTCGCCCCCTCGGGTCGGTCGTTTGCGATGTCAGACACTTCTCAACATCCCTTGAATCCTGCGCTTCTTCCATCCGGGTCTGCCGATAACCCAAGGGGCCCCAAGGGGTGAGCGGATGGATCAATTCTTGGTCAAGACTGAAAGGATGCTTTTGTTCTACCCCGTCTCTTCCGTGCGGTTTTTCTTTTTTTTTTTTTTGGGGGTGCTCGCCCTTCCGGAGACGAGACTATGCGGCTTGCTCTTCACGAGACGACGGATGCACGACATGTCTTGAGACGGTTGAACCCCCCTAGACTAACTAAGTTGGTCTTTGCTCCGAAGACAGGCTGGACGAGCTCGTGCTGGTTTGACTAACTCGCACAGTACTGCTTTTTCATGGTGACCCGGGGTTCCCTCTCGATCCAGGCGTTATGTTATGGAGATGTTTGGAGAAGTCGCGAATAATTTAGCAAGCACATGCAGGGCCTTGCAGGTCACACAGCCTTCCCCTCCAAGACCAGGCATTCATTACATGCAGCAAGGCACCTGCTAGACATTGACAGAACCACAAACCCGTCATATCTATCTCTGCGTTGGGGAGCTTTTCTCGCTTGATTGACCCTGTTGCGAAAAGGCCCATTGCTAGCGAGAGCAGTTAGTGTTGCGTAACTTGTACCTTACCTAGCAAACCACATATTGGCCTGAGAGGCGTGCGCAGCCGTAATGTTCATGTAGTTGGAAGCCGAACAGGTCGCTGGCTGTGTCGCCGGCTTGCTTGTCACGTGCTGGTACGTCTCCACGCCAGGGTGAACTACATTGATCTACACGAAGAACGCCTTGAAAGCCGCCATGCAAGCAAGGCCTCTGTTCATCGCCAGATAACGACAATATGCCATCATCATTGTAATTGGCGTACATCCTCGTCTTATTCTGGATGAATCCGATCTCTTGCCGATTAGATGGCCCTTGGTGAACCAAGATCTAAGATTGTCCGATCATCATTGGTGGAACTAGCAAACCACACACTCTTCAGACAATGGTGCCAACTCAAACGTACCGTTTGGGACTGCTTTCCACCAAGACGGTGGGCACATTACCTAGTCCATCTGTGTCTGGCGCCCCGAATCCGACGAATGGTTGTACTACATAGAAAGAACTTGAGATTAGTCCAAACGTCCACATAAAGGATCTTCTAGTGCCATAATTAGAAGCCTAAAAGTCCCGCAACGGACGTACCTGAACTTGCGCCGTTGAAATATTTGCACGAAATGCGAATATTGCCCGTCTCGGACATGCTGTTGCTGTTTGCATGATGATCCGGAGTGGAGGTAATCGACGGCGCTGAGCCCTTCTCCGTAGTCCTTTCGCAACTCTTCGCGGGTTTATCAGGGAGAAAGGCCTCCCAGGAATCAATCACGGAGACCTCAAGATTGGACCCCAACTGCTGATTGGAGGAACCCCTGACCACAATGATTGGGTGTGTTGCGACACCTTGCATGGGGATTTCAAACGTATGAGCACCCTTTCTTCCATGTATCAACTGGCTGTTCTGGTACACACAGGTGAATGCTGAGTCCGGACCGCTAGAGGCAATTTCCAGGAGTGATGGAAGTAGGAAGGATGAATTTGCTCCTGCGCTGAGGTTGTGCATAACGACTGTCCACCGATCGTGAAACTTCTTCGTCGTGACAGAAAGGAGCCTCCTGGGCTTGTCTATGACTTCTGGAAAAGGTATCGTGGGGTTGGTGTTGATGCAACCAGAATCGCTCCCATTAGTAGATGAAGCAAGATCCAGATTAGCCTCTATGTTATCTCGAGTGCCGGTAGAGTTAGTACAGCGAGAGATTGTCGTTGCTTAGGACTTATGATGGGTTCTAATTGGAAGCGATCCTCGTAAGCTGGCTATGAAATGGAAGAGACAGCGTGTGTGTGTGTAAAAAAACACACGAGGTTACGGCTGCGGAGCGGCTTGTTACTAAGTCAAGCGCAGTAAATTGCAACACTCTGCAAGAGACGTGAGGCTTCAACTCATAATGGGCTTCGCTGGGGCGCCTCATTATCCCACTTGGTTCAACTACACATTGCGGAAGTCGAGAACACGATGAGACGGCATTACGTGCCGTGGCACCACATCACTCACTCGCCTCGCATTTGCTGAACTGCTGTATATTCTATAATCCGGCTACATTTTGTAGATCAGAAAGCAGGTTTCTGCCATTAAGTGCTATTCCGGGGTTGAAATAGCGCACAACCTTAGGTGCCTTGAGTTCAAAACACGGCACCAATGGTTCTTGCCTCGCACAAGCTTGACCAGGATCCTTTAATTTTCTCCGCAAATCTATATCCAAATGACTGGCCTAGTAGCTATCGCGAGCGTATGAAGGGTATGAAATAGTCTCAACTCCCAAGCCCCATCAATGTTCCCAAATGTTCCACTTCACGCCGTTCGGTTCAACCTGTTCGTCAGGTTCATACGTACCATTGTTGGCGAGGATGAAAGTTGCATTTCGGATGGCTGCGCCGGTGGTGTCTACCTCCAAAACTCGGCCGATCGTGCTCCTGTCCACGGCGACACCAGGTTCAAGTTGACAGAACGCTATAAAGTACTTTGGCCTTGAAGATGTCTGACTAGGTTCACCTAGTCGAGTGAGCCAAGTCTGGATAGGAATCACATTGCCAGTCATAGAGTTAAGGGCGCCGCACCAACGTCAACTTGATTTGTGAGGACTCAGCAGGTATGAAAGAGTCATATCCACCCTGACGGTAAACCTGATCTCACACTGGTTGGGGAATTTGAAAGTGTTGTCGATGCGAATGTCAAGGGTACCCTGGGCATTGGCAAAGTTGGCCATCTGAGTGTAGTCCCAGGTTCAGTGACTTCCATTGCCATTCACAGTGGTGATCACAGCAACTGTTCCGTTAGGACCAAACTTTGCAGCGACTCAGTTGTCGATGTCGGCATGGGTAGAACCATCAATATTCCGAGAGGTGCTATGAAAAGCCGGGTACGGTGTTTCATGGTGAAGAAGGCAGGACCATCACCCGTACCGCTGATGGTTGGGAGACGCTGGTAAATATTGGCGAACAAGCTTCCCGGAATGAGGCTGATTGGAACAAGTAAATTCCGGAATAGGAGAAAAGTGCGGTCACTGTTGGATTCGTTCTTGATCATGATTGTGAAGCTTGCCATCTTGAATACTTGGGTTTGGCGGTGGCCAGCAGACGATTTTCAAAACAAGAACGTAGTTGAAAACTTGAGGTACTTCGGCTTTGTTTGATCATTTGGCCGAGATACTATGACGTGGCAAGTGAGAAAGACATACCAGGAGAGGGATTTCTTCAACCCTTGACAGCGCCTGAGAAGTCGAAGGATGGCCAATTCCTCCTAATCTAACTTTCTAATCAAACACGAACCATTTGGCACCAACATTGCGGTCACAGACCACATATTCTGTCATTGTATTGTTGTGTTATTACTCGTTGTTATTCACATGGGAACAAACGCGCCTGATGTTGAGACTATAATCAGCTCCACAAACATCAATCCAGCCAGTCCTGTCTCCCCACGCATGCTTCTGGCCTATTTGAGTGTACGGAGAAAGATCTGTAATGATATTTCATTTGAAATCTGTACCACAATACACTGTCAATCGTAACATGATATTGCACCATTTCTCGTGTAAACATGTCTCCAGTCTCAAGATCTTTTTAGCCTCTGTGAGTATACTTGGCAAGGTACACAGCTGCAGAAATACCCACACAGGAGCTTAAGGCATACAGAGATACGAATATCAAGCTCCACTATCAACGTGTCTCGCACAAGTCATGGAATGTAGTCCAGGAAACATACATGAGTAGTCATTTTGCAACAGACATCCACAAAGGCTGCCAAATGTGCTAAAATGAATTTCCTTGGATGACCTGGCCTATCCCTTTCAGGTTTCAGTCACGCTGCGTTAAGGCGGGGGAGTCATCTGGTCATACCTAAGCGACGGAGTGGTGTGCTTGCCGGCGGAAGCTTGGGGGAGCTTAGACGAGACAGCGACTGGTGTTCAGGTCTGTCTCTAGTGCCTTTGGGTGGAAAGGAGAGTTTTTATCTTCAACAATACGGTAGCCTCTGAGTATTCTCAGGTGAATAGACTTGTCGGTGAGACAAGAGATCTAGACTCGGGCAATTATGCATGACATCCTGACAGTACACCTGTCCCCATATTCAGGTATCCGAGATATACCCAAATGTGCTCATCACAGTACCGTTGGCCCAAAGGTACTCTATGGTAAAAGGCAATTACTGAGGTTGGTAGCCACACTTAACTATTTCCGGCGGTCGTACACACATGTCCCACGACTCAGCCAGCCTCGTCGAAGACATCATACGACTTGACCAGACCGAGTTTTGGAAGTGTGCCTCTTGTAAACGGACACTCTGAATGCTGTTTTAGGAGAGGCTTTGAATGGGATACTCTCAAGTTGACAATGAATAGGGGGTCCACTAACACAATGGATCCTTACTGCTTCTGAGTTGGCTTCATCAATTGAAAACTGATGTTACACGCTCACAACTCTTGCAACTTCTCCTTGCCGTAAGGTTAAACGTTTATTTCTCATCATTACTTCAGAATGGGTTCATTCAGCTTTCGGAATCGCCGACGATTTCATAACGCAATTCGCAATCTTCTCCCGGGGGGCGTTGGAACATCTAGGTAGACGTCCAAATGATAAACCGGTGGCTAATATCATCTCAGCCGTGCCTACCGGACTCCTCTCCCACCACATATCCCTGGCACTTATTATCGACGCACAACTGAGCCAAAGTGGAAGTATCCTGAACGTTTCTTTCTGGTGTTCGGTTACGTACACTATGGGAGTCGTTGTTGGAGATGAGGGTGTAAACAGAATGAATTGCCGGGAGTAAGTCCTTGGACTTGGCGGTCCACAGTCTCCCAGAACCCCAAACGAGAAGCTGGACATTTACAGCCAAAACGACAGTGAGATCATGGAGACTGATGAACACAGTAGTTTGGCTGGGGCCGTGGCCTTGAAGAGCAAGGCCTCATAGTTGTAAGTTACTCTATGGTCCTCCTCACTACTTGGCAAATGGTCAGCTGACACTTTCCATCTCACACCTATGATCTTGCCGTCACACTGAAAGTCCCAGCTGGGACATTTGAGGATGGCCCAGATGTGAGAGCTGATGCACTTCTTGTTCATGCCTTCAAGGTCTACCCCATTGGAAGACAAGGTCAGTATTGCTGATCTGCAGGTGTACGAGTGGTTCCACACGTTGTAAGAGATGTCACATGGGACCGCCAGATTGGCTGAGTTTGATGATTTTTAGGCTACAGGCCAACATAAGTAAGTCTGATGCAAATAGGATTACAATCAGTGGACCGAGTTAAGTCATGAGCGACAAGGCAATACCGTGCGGTTCTGGACATCAATCAAGGACGGCCATTATGGATTCGTTGAGGTGCTGATGCTCCCAAAGGTGCCATTCTCGGCTACGATAGCCGAGCTTCTATTAGTTTCCCCTCGGAAAAGAGTGTGATGACTTTTGGGATCATGCGATACAGTGTGAGGTGGATGGTCGAACGAATGCTAGGCAAAGTAATAAGAGGCGCCGACCTTGTTGAGCACTTGAACTGCTGGATTAAAGTCGACAGAATCACATTCTATCATGTCTTCATCTGCTCTGGGGTGTCTTGGTTGAGTGACTTATTCTGTTGCTATCGTCTTGTTGCCACCTCCAGGTGTTTCCTGACGATATAGCCAACTTGACATCGTGAGACTGTCACATACGACCATACCCATTGGAAAACTCGGGATCCCGTCCGCTCTCCCATAGATAAGCTAATGAGGGCCGGATTAGTAGTTGGGTCGGTGACGACCAGCGAATACCTGGTGTTGTATGTTTTTGAAGTTTTTGGTGGATTCACGAGAATGCTGTTTGTGGAGTATCGAAGGCGGCTGCGGGTGACGATGTTTTGACTTGTTCGTATGCGTTCACCACAACAGACTTAGCCTGGATACAGAGCATCATATAATCAGTTATGTTTGAAAACTATGTCTCTTGACTGCTTCGTAAATTTTGGCCATTTTGGTAGTGGTGGGGTGCCATTCGTTGAAGTCGTCTGTTGAACAACCATTTTGTAGGCTGAAAAGCTCTCTGAGTTCCGGACAGCTGTTTCGGATGACGGTTGATTAGCTAGCTATATGGCATGCCAATCTCTATAGATTGACTTTTTTACCAATAGCTGATCCGGTTCAGGATGTGCCTTGCCTCTCTCTGTCAGCTCAGCTCTTGCAGCCGTCAACATTGCGTAGAAAGAGTTACCATACTTCTTGCGTTTAAGTGGTGGTAAGGGCCTTTAACAAATAGGACTTGACTCATAAGACCTGTGGAAATCACACCAATCTTTTGCGGTATTCGGGCTCTATTCTTTTGGTGTCGACTGGCTTCGCTTTCCTCTCAACCGTCGACTGCGCCGTGTTTTACCCCGTCAGCATCGTGTACCAATGTCTGTTTTGAACATCTTGGCCATGGCCCCTCACGGGATTATTTTGTGCCATAATCAACTCAAGGCTGATGAGATAGAAACCCTCGGGCGTCTACCAGAAAGGAAGCAAGAATAGTGCGGCGGAAGACGAATCAACCACAGGGACCGGTAGGCATGCTGACGACCGACGGCAAGTTTGCAAGTTGAGAAACCGCCCGACGACAAGCTTCCAAGTTCTCTGTTTAGTCAAACTATCCCCCGGAAGCTCTTTTCGAGACTTTTCAACACTGCAAAGGGTATCTGAGGATTCTGGAGAGACAGATTCGTAACGTCCCGGCCACAGACTCTCGATTCATAACGAACCAATTCTGAAGGGCGCCTTCATTGGCCCAACGGTTATCATCAAACGATTCTCCAAGTGAGACCAAAACCGAGGGAACTTTACTCTTGGCCGTCTCGCTACATGAGGCTGTGTTTTCTATAAGCCGCACTCAAGCCGTCACAAAAGTCTTTGCCCTACCAACCCCAGCTCATTCGCCAAGGTCGTTCATCACTGCTGACGAATGACATCCAAATGCGACCAAGACATTCCAGACTGATACTCAGGTTCAATTCACCTGCTGTTCCGTCCTGTGCTTCGCCTCAATATGGTAACATAGAGACATGCAAGGGTCGGAAGCAGCTACCCGGGCCGACCAGTCACGAACAATGCAATCGGAGAAGGCTACGGGTAAGCACATATAAAAAAAAATAAGTCTAATCTCGAGGTTGTTTCTTATTTAAAACATATATTTAGTCAACTTATATGTAACCGTTGGCGGCACGGGTTAACAAGCCAATATCCGTTAGTAAAAGCTTCCGCGGAATCTAGAACATCCACCAGATGCCGACATGGAGCTTGAAAAGTTACCACCATTGGATCGCGAGGGAAAGAGAGCAACACCGATCACTTTGAATAACTACGAAGGAAAATTGGCTCCTGGATATAGAGGGGACACTATGCAGATGTATATGGATGAAGTCCTTCACTAATCGAACCTCTGTTAAATCCGGGAGGAGAGGATGGACAATGTCGTCGGGATATCACCACATACTATTAACTGGAACAAGAGTGCCTGTCACGTTTAGTGAGTATTTACGAATAGATAAGCATATTGCACATCACTCGGCCATCACTGTCATGTTTTGATTCCATTTAATATGGGGAAATTTGACATGTCCCTTAGATTACGATATAATTCGCGATTGATGGGAACTATTCACAACAGACTTTCTTGAAGGAACGTTACGCCTGTAGAATACATCAGCGCATATCCTAGCTAGTTGCAAATGATTGTCAGAGGACTTGGAAGTAGATATCAGCATGGCAGAATCCCCGAATGGGAATACCTCCCCGTTTCAAGAGCCTGATTGACAATAAGAAACCGCCAGTCCACTCAACAACCACTCACTATGAATCAGGAGAGAAATCTTCAGACTCAATAACGGGAATCGGCGTCAATGCTCTCTGGGAACACATCGAGTGCAATCCTCCGAGGACACCAACGACAACGAAACATGATCGACAACCCAGAGACTCTTCACGAGTCAACTCCTCAACTCGCGTCAGCTACACAGAAACACATAATATTCGACAACCAGAAAAAGGCCGCAAACTGACACGTAAACCCCCATCCGGTAAATGAAATCGTGACTTTTGCCAACTTCGTCATTGTGAAGTACCTTGAACGTCATATTGCATATCGACAAAGAGTCATTCAAACCAACACGTATCGATCCACTAGGTACCGGGATTCCTCTCCGAGACAAGAGAGGAACTAAACTGCCCGTGCTAAACAAACACCTCTCTTGTTCTCAGTTACTTGACAGCTATTCGCCACACAGATTCACTTTCTCTCAACGAACCGAAACACCTCGAATGGCGAAGGAACAAAAGACATCTTGCCTTCCCGGATCCGAGAGGCCCACAAGGGACGAGTTCAGTCAGTCAACAACTCGGCTTACCTCGGACTCGGAAGCTGCGTGGTCGGGCAAGATCCAAGCCGGGGTACGGGCAACCCAGACCCGCGAACTCTACACTCTCCTTCCCCCGTCCTCTCATCCGTCCGTCTTGCCCGCGTGGTGCCAGCCCACAATCCGATCCAAGGTCCGCCCAACATCGGATCGACCAGAAGAACCCCGAGTCAAACTCACCAACACATACACGTACGTACCACTTGCTTACATGTCCAATGCTCAAACCACTTGCCCACTTCAGCCAAACCAAACCCATCTTTTGACATCTGAAAAAACAAGGAACAAAAGACCACCCTGCAAGGAGATCCGGGCTTTTTCGCCTTCTCCCCCGCGCATATCCGTAGTCCATCCACCGCGCAACCAACAAGGTTTCCTTTGGCAACAATTGGGGCGAGTTGCACTATTTTGACTCTCCCAAACCCCTCTCTCTCCCCGCACGGGGACGGTCGGTTCGGTCAGTCCGCCTCACTCCAGCTGAAAAAAACGAATTGTGTGCTGGGAGGCTGACAAACTCGAGGTCACACGGTGGTCCCGTCGCCAGAGCGCGGAAACTTTGACAAGCCGTGGAAGGGAAACAACAGCACCCAAGACGGCATAGAGACGGAGACAAGAGTCAGCCAGCCAGCTGGGGCCGCAACTTTCGCCCATTTCCGTCCCGAGAGAAATGCCATTTTTCTTTCGTGGTTCAAGATTCTAGAAGCCATGGGATTCAAACTCTAAACTTGTAGATCACACAAGGCCAAGGGCGACACGGCACGGCACATGGCGGACTTTGGTACAGCTTTGTAATCCCACCAATTCGGTCAACGCAAGGAAGGAGACATTGGACATTTCTGTGCAAGTGGCAGCATATTGCCCATTCCCCATTCTTTACCACTCATCCGGTACTCCTTTGCCAGGAACATTCAAAATCATCCTGCAGCGCTTCCTCGGCCAGCCCCCAACGCCCCCGTGGTCCTTTCCGTTCACGACTCGCAATTTGATCTGATTCCTCCGTCTCCCCATGAATCGGAGTCCCGGGGCTCTTCTCACACATACCGGCAGGTCAGACCCCCCGGCGGAGGCCGAACGAAGGAAAGGGAAAACAGCATATAGCAAAGACAAGGCAGTTCCTTATGCGTTATGGAATTATGCTGAGAGCGATCCCCGGGGATGATGGACGGTCCCCCGTCCGAACTAAGTGAGCCCGCCGCGTAAGGTCATCAGTACCCGGGAGAGGGAAGACAATCGTACAGGAGGATGACAGAGAAGGGGGCGGGATCGATCTGCTGATTCATTCCATGGACCAGGGTCGTCGATGTCGTCGTAATACCACAACTAGACATTTCGATGGAAAGGTAGATTGCCTTTCGTGCCTTGGCCTCATCCGTTGCCACTGGCCACTCATCTCTCGATCACAACACCGATGGGTAAGGAGCAAGTAGCACAGCTCCGTTCACTTACCTGCCTTCCGACTTCTTTTGCCTCTCGACCACCCGAGTCTTCGCCCCCCAGTGGTTGCCAACCCTTCACCCTGATGATCGACCCAGCCTTGCCGGCGCCAAGCGCGAGGGCATGAAATACTCGGCAAACCTTCCCTTCGAGAGTTCACGGAACGCCACGTGCAGGGGAGAGAGCTCTGTCGCAATGCGACTTCCTGATTCTCCTCAACCATGGAAGCCGCCCATCCTCGCTCTTCAACCAGTCGGAGGAGACGCCCGGCGGACCAGTGGACTTGTTTTTCCAGGGACCAACGAGTCAAACTGACACGAGGGAGGCCCTTCCTTGCCCCGGCCGGTATCCCAAGTCTGAGCGCCTACCAGATCTTTATGCCTCAGGGTGGCATACGCCAATAGCATTCGCAGACGGACGAAGACTGCAGTTTCAGGAGTCGATCTTGTCCAAGGGTCCATCAGCGGGGCGACGTCGAGGGGGGAGCTTTTGGGATCTGGGCAGGCAGACCTGGGTCTGGAAGATCATGGATGAGAGGTGCGGAAGACACACCTTGGTCTCTGGCGGAAAGCGGGAGGAACGTTTGCCCAAATGGGAAGGCCAGGCAGGCTTGATGGCGACTTGTCAGTTCAGTAGCCGCGGCAGTACGTCTGGTAAGTCGTAGATGACCGTGGCAGAATCTGACATGACGGGATCACGACTTCCCTGAGAGGGCGGGCGACGGACAGACGGGCAGGAACAACCGGCTATAGAGGCAAAGTTCGGTTGCGAGATGGAAGGATTCCATACAGCTCTAGAGGCTGTGTCGGCGCTTCTTCGTCCACAGACGCGGACTAGAGCAGGCGAGGCATGTGGCATGACATGCCCACGAGGCAAGTGAAGCCGACGAGGTGGCGGAGGGGGGACGACGATGGGCGCCAGAAAGACGAGCAGACGTCTGTTAGTTACGAGAAGAATGGATCTCTTGTCTGTCAATGTTTCAGATATCTGCCCGAGTGGTACCTGTGCAACTCGGGCACGGCGTCAAAGCACATTGCCAGAGTGGGTGAAGGTGGGCGCCATCCATGCTGTGCAGGAACCGACCAGACCTGTTGTTTATCGCTTCGGACGAGGACTGAAAAGAGAAGGACGGTGCGTGGTGGGAGGCGGGATAGAGTGGCCCTGGCACAGATCTTCCTGTTCATGGGACTGCCAGGCGGCGAAACAAGCATGGCGATGTGAAACAAGAGCGGTGGGCGGTAGAGGTGAAGGTGGTATGGGTAAAAGACTCGATGGCAGAAGCCGTCAAGTTTGAGGTAAGTCCAAAAAAAGAGCGCCTAGTAGGTCCCCGTGTATCCAAGTCGGGAACTTGCACTGGCCAACTGCTGCCTCGTCCGTATCTAGAGGTCGGCGATGTGATATTGATCCGGGTTTTTGCTCCGGGTACGGGGTCGACGACGTCCGGACACGAGAGGACAAGGCTGGCATGGTGACTAGCATGATTCGAGAAGACGATGTAGCGGAACGTCATAGCTAGTCAGTACGGATCAAGCGCAGTCAGTCAAGCCACAGATGCTTGTCTAGCTGGCTGTCTGTCTCCGTGTCTCCCTAGCCCACGAGGCTCGAGAATAGGAAGCACCAGTCCGTGTACTCCAGATCTCCCGGCCGACCGTCCGTTCCAATCATCAGGATCCGTGGCAGCGGAGCCTGTCGAGGAAGACATGCTTCGAACGGCCACTCTGGCAGCTGGTCGTCGATGCTCTGGATTCCATGAGTGGTGTCGGACCACACTTGAGCCAACCGGAACGCACCAACGAGATACCCTGCAAAGGGACTGTGGGTAGAGCGCAAGATGGGTGTCCGAGCCCACCCAGCCTTGCTAGGGAGATCCCTTCGTTTGGCAACCTTCAAGAGCTGAGCGACCATGTTCAAAGCTGACATAAACGGCCCATCGCTGCCTCAAGTCGTTCTGGAAGGCGTGGTGACATGTCCCTAGAAAGTCGTCGCCAGTGTTTCATGTACCTGAAAACCGCCCCTCTCATCGTGTTTCGGGTGCTGCACAACATTGGCTCAAAGCACACTTCCACCCTTCCAGACCACCTAGCAAAGCGGCGAAGCCCTGTGGACGAGCCCGCCGGTCGCAGGGAAAACTGGAGAAGGCCTGCGGGTTGACATCAACACGAGCTTCTGTTGGTAGTGTCGTTGCGCGAAGAGAACTAGCCATCGTCGCATCGTGGGTGGGGGAAACTTGTCGAGGAAACCACGGTGGAAATAGATGGCTGGGTGCATGCTGCTGTCGCATCGTTTACAATTCTTCTCCGCCATCACGGTTCACCGCCGCTGGTGCGGATAGAGAGAACCACACCGGACAGGCTGGTTCGTGCACGAATCATACTTCGCCTTGGGAAGCGGCCGGCACGACTGCTGGGCACGACTGGGGTTGTCATGGATGCCCACCGCGACGACCACCACGGCCACCACGGGTCGAGGAGAAGTCGACGTCGAAAATGGCATGTTTCGTCGCCTCAGCGAGGCGAGGAAGATCGGCCGTCTCTTCCCTGTCGTTTCAGACTTGCTGTGGGCTTGACAGGCTTTGCAATCTCCACTGAGCCGTACACTACGCAGGGAACTCGACATGCTTTTTGTTCAAGGATGAATTGGTTAGCTGCGTGCGTATCTGCCTCTTCGAACCGCAGTCAGCCGTCATGGCTGGTATCTGCCAGGATGAGAAGAACCCAACGACCTTGTGGTAAAAGTCCGAAGAAAGTCTCTCGTTCTTGCAGGAGCTGGTGGAACTCACCCACAATGTAGGGAATTATCGTGCAGATTTGACAGGTGAGCGGCAGGTACGCCGGCGGTGGCGACGGCTACCGTCCGCCAGGAGCCGTCGCCGGAGAGAAAAAAGGATGACAGTAGCGCTAGGTCGCCGAGCCCAGCTAGGTCGACTGCCGACATACCCAGATCCCCGTTTCTGTCGCTCTTCCTCGGAGGTTCAAGTTTCATCTCATGGCTGGAGTCGTTCCTCGTAGGTAGCGTGCCATTGCCAGACGAATCCCCATCACGGTCGAGCCTGGCAGCAAGGAGGGCGATGTTTTTCCCTCCGGAGCCCATGCAGGTAGGCGAGCACATCACTTAGTCGGCTGGGATGTTTCTATTATTGTTTGCCCAACCACGAAGACCATGCCGGCGGCAAGGTCCTCGTCTGCTGGCGGCCGGAGCCCCGCGCGAGCAAGGCGGGACGAGGAGGGCAAACCAGATCTGCTGATGCGGTGTAAAACAGAGATGGTTAATGTGAAAGGCTGGCAGGTAATCTCAGCAACCGCCAGGCGCATATTGTACTAGGGCGAGGCGGCCGAAAGTTCTGCGACCCGATCTCACTCCCGCATGCGCCGCGCAACGATTCCCGGATGAATGGGCAGTCATCTCGAAAAAGCAAGAGCTATTTCTGGCCTTTGTTGACCAGTGTGATGCGAGTGAGCGTGTCCATTATAGTCTTGTGCATGCACAGGTGCGTTGTGTGTGTGAGATCCGTTCTGGTAGGTGGGACGGGAAGGAGATCAGGCCAAACATTGGGAGAGAGCGACAGCTGGCAGCAAGAGCAGGGTAGGGGAGGCAGACGGGCAGACGGGCAGGGGCAGTGTGGTGGGAGTGAGAACTTGACGCCCCACTCAACATAATGGAATGAATCTGAGGGAGCCAATGAGATGGCTGAGAAGCTCCTAGCGCTTGCAGGGCCAGCTCTTCAGGATATTGATTGGCTCCTGCGGCTTAAGCTTAGGCCGAATCCACCCAGGGTCCATTTCTGAAACTGCCCACACGGGATCAGTCAGCAAAACCCGACTGGCAGCATCCCGACAGACGCTGGGCCCAAGGCCTCACTCTGAGGGACCACGGCATCACGCTCCTCTTTCTTTTCTCTCCCCTTGGCTGATTCAGATTATGATCCATGATCATGCCTGGGTCGCTCACTGGTCAAACAGGCCCACGGTATGACGAATGATACGAACCAAGCATCCCGGCGTCGAGGGGCCTAGACTTGATCACCATTTTCCTCAACGGATAGATTTTGCTTAGTGCTACTCCCCGGAGCCCAAAAAAAAAAAAAAAAAGCTCCGTCAGTGGTTTGTTTGGTGGAGACGAATCCATTTCACTGCATTCCTCAGGCGTTACGCTTTGTCTCTACTTGTCTTTTCCAACGTGACGTCTTTTTCGAAAAGAATGGGCATCAAACTTGTGCCGCGTGCGTAGGGACTAGGAAACTGAATCGCTAACAAATTGCTCTACATCATTGGAGGCGCTTGCTTTGGACCTCGTGCCCGGGACGAGCTTCGACAGACTTGGGTAGACAACCCACCGCCTGGAGACTCAAAATAGCAGTATACAACGATTGCCTCAGTAACTCGACTGATTCGTCGACTTCGTCCCAGCTCTACTATGGTAAGCACATGAATGTGACGGCCAGCTTAGGAAATGGTCTATGCGCACACAGTCCCAGAAGCGGCACCCGCCCCGGCCGAATTTCCCTTGCCTTATCCTAGTCACCGCATTCTCCGTTGACGAAAGTCTCACGATGCTGTTCGCGCGGCACAGGATGCGCCTGTCAGGGAGAGGATGATCGTCGTTGATTCTTCCAGAGCTTCCCGGATGCCCCTCTATTGTTTGCCGCTACCAGCAAGAATGCAGAAGACGGTAAACATTTAAGATTACGGAGGAGCTTTGCAGATGGTATCATGGTATTCGACCCAACGGCAAAGCTTCCTATTTAGGCCATACCTCCGTTCCCTTCGCTTGCCTGAGTTAAACTCAAGTCCGGGATCCCGAACCGTGAGCTCCATTCTCCCTGATGGCCTCTTCTCGCCGTAGCTCTTACGGGCAGAAGAGGGCACAAGGGCAACTCGAGGGGAGGTCGATAGAATGCAGTTCCCAGACAAGCGGATGATGTCCGGCCGTGCGGGAAGTCGACAGCGGTCAACATGAACTCTCCCATCCTGACTGAACGCACTGAAGTCGGCCAGGGTAGCGGGACGATCAGTCGAGGTGGGATAGCTGGTCGCCGTCTTCTCTGAACCCGGACCCGGACCTCGACCTAGGGCTAGCGTGGGCTTGCCTTGCCAGGACATACCAACAACATAAAAATCATCCTCGCCCATGCCGAAGATAAAGGCGAGCTCTACGGATACATACCTAGTACACAGTGGTGTGCGATTAACGCGTATTCGGCGGGGGAGGCCGTTCGGGTTCGAGGCTGGCGATGTGCAGCTGGCATCTGCTGGCTCAGAGTTTCAGAAAGCTCGGGGTAGCGTGCGTCACATTCTGGCAGGGTGATCAAACAGCCACAACCATGGTCCAAGGACAACATCCCGCCGACGGCTCCCTCCACCGCGCAAGAACGCCGGTTTGCCGTCTTGTCAAGGCCAGTGCAGGCTGATGCTTGAGATCTCGTACCTTGCATAGAGAGGCACAGCGCTGCCGTCCGAGGTTTGGCCGTCGCCCCCATTTCAACGTCGTGTCTTGCTTCCGACCTGACCTGTTATGAACCTATCTTCGTGATCCATATGGAACGCGGCCTTTGTCCTCCGTTGCGGTGGACCACAGCTCTGTGGAACTAACTGCAAAGATTTGGAAAGAAAATGAGTAATGAGGATCGCGGTACCGAGTTCTTGTTTTTGTTGGTCCCGTATCTGTGCAAAGTATGATTGATGTTTAATCACCGAAATGTCCACTCCGCGAGGTCATATCCGCACTGAGTACGGATAGCACGCGAGGACGGTGTTCCGTAAGCCCACCGTAGCGGTCAGGTTGAGGCCCTGGCCCGGATCGGATGGCAAAAGTCGAAAACGGGATGGCTCTGGGACTCGATATTCTCCACATGGCCGAAATCGTGTTCTGTTCCTAGTCAGTGGAATATCAAGACGCGATTCAAGCGGCCCCGTTGACGACACCGTGCAGATGCCGGGAAGAACGCAGAGAACCGTGCGGGCAACTGAGGGCGCAATCGGAGCGTATTTTGTGCAGCGAGCATTGTGAGTGATGATGAGTTCAACGGTTATCAGCAAGCGCAGCCGTCGTGAAGCTAGCGCAGAGCATGCAGGAGAAGCAAAAACCGTGGACCAGTATGGACGTCAAGAGTGATGTGCATGAAAGCTGCTGAGGGGACGAGCGCCAGTGGGCTGCAAGATATGGCCTGCCAGCCTGTGATATTGACGAGAGGTTATCCGGAATAGCCTGATGGCATATCGCCCTACTTGGTGCAAGGTTGTCGTCCAATGGGTCCCGAAAAGACGGAGGGCCAAAGACACAGCTAATGTTGCCGGACGCTTCTTTGGCCTTGATCGTAGCACGCGGCAGCGAATGATGCGGTGTGTTGAGCCTTTCCATTCTGATCCTCGCTGTAGACGATGTAGTGCGATACACAGGTACCTTAGGTCGGGCGGCGGGACGTCGTGACTCGATGAAAGCAAGCGTTCCTGGAAAGAGGGCACCACGGTCCACGGGCACGCGAGTTGGAGGGGCGTGAGATAAGCGAGAAGGGGGGCAGTGGTTGCAACTTTGACAGAATGACTATGCTAGAAGAGGATTAGCGCTGGACTTTAGCAGCCCAAGGCCCCAAAGCTATTTTCTGAAGCAATGCGCCAGGCAAGTTTCACAGCTGGCAGGGTCTTGCCAGCAATTCTGCGGCAGCGACACACAGTTTCCAAAGACAAGCAGAGTCGGTACGTGCTGCCGCGCTTCCCACAGCAGAAGCAGGACATTGACTCGATGCCTAACAGACAAGGCAGACACATGGCGGATCCCCACTACGCAGCCAGTCAACACCCGGCTTGGCTCGTGGCCCTAGCTTCCTTTCGCGTCATCCACTTTGTTCCGACCTGGCTACCTAAGGTGCCGCTGCGTGGCTCTCGATTTCTCGGTCACTTCGTACGCACTCAGAACCGCGCCGGGCCGCACAACACCAATTACACGCACCATCCAGCGGGCGACCATTGGCGAGCGAGCCATGGACGGAATTTGCTGCGATGCCGCAGTCCCTTTTGCCGCATGTGTGCTCTGGCATCCCATCATATTGGCTGGGAATGGACTGAGATGAAAAGGTGCGTTATTCTGAATGCAATCTGCTGACGGCCTACCGCGCCAACGCGTGACCGCTTCCACTGTCTTGGATTTTTCAATCTCGTTTGTCTCTGTCACACTCAGACAAGGACGGCAGCGGTCCCTTCCGGGTGACGACAAGGCTGGAAACAACGTTATAATAGGGTCTTGACGAGGAATGCAGCGTGTCTGAAGCCCACGACATTCCAATAACGGCTCGCTTCAACGGCTGTCGTCCTTCTCCATAGTCAGGAGCTGCGGCGGTCCGAGCGAGCTCGTTGCGGCTGGCAAAGCCTGTAGTACGGATACTCCATATGCCATTTCGACCTACTCGATAAGCCTGCCGATCCATCGGCCCGCTACTCTGTACTGTCACCGACATCACATCACCACCCACTGCCCCAGGGACTCGGACCTGCATTTCCACCCTCAGCTGATGGCAACAGCGTCACATCGGGAAAAGGCGCTCTGCATTCTTTCAGGGGCCCAACACGAGCCTCTCGCTGTTGAGATGACGAGCCGAACTTGTTTGGTACCCTTCGTCACGAAATCGACGCTTGTCGAGAAAGGAAGCATATCCGACATGCCCCGAGTCGGGAGCCACGTTGTTGCACAGGCTTTCGACGACGACCCTACGACCTTTTTCACCCACTGACTATTGGCGTCACGACGATGACTTGATGCAGTGCTTCTCCTTGCAGCCTCAACGACCTTCAATGCTACAAGTACATGGCTTTGGCAGTCAGTCGGCCACCGTCGTCCGAGCTGCGTGTCTTGATGTTCCAAGAGACACCTGTTAGTGGCCTTCTCTCATTAAACCACAATGTGCTCGGACTGAGCGAACTCCACCGGTGCCGTCGTCGGCCGCTGCGGTGTCTTCGTCCGTCATTCTGCAAGTGTTCAGGAGAAGGCAATCTTAGGGAATAATGGCAGCGATGTGTCAACTATTGCAGCCATCGCATCCTTTGCATCCATTGCATTCCGAGCAAGAGACAAAGGTCGCCCGCGGAGCTGGACCCTCAAAACAAGCGATATTGCATGTGGAGATTATTGGGCAATCTCCTCACTTCTTCTTGCTGATGACCTGCACCATCGCCCTGGGATATGCATTACCGTTCTCTAGCAGGCCTGGCTAAACCTTCTTTTCCCTTTCCTTGGCTCCGCAAACACCCCCTGGACCGTCAATGGTTTTTTTACCCCCTTCTCTTCCTCCTTTGATGGTGCCGAAGAACGAGGCTTCATTTTATCAGACATCCAACGCAATGCAACATGCAAGCAGGAGACACGGCTCCGGATCTCGTTCTGCAAAGGCCATCTGGAAGCCGAACGGCCCCGCTGCAAGGTCTTGGCCTGCTCCGGTCCGCGGAAGACAATGGGAAAGTTCGCGGGATGCGATGACTTGTCTGGCTGGCTTGCACTGCACTCAGCCAGACGACTGTGCATAAAATATGTCAAATCCCGACAAGTCGACTTATCCAGAGTTTGACGACGCCCTGACCACCAGGCCACACTATCCCAACATTGTTATCGACCTTTTCGTCAGGTTCTCTCCGCTGTCTCCGACGACGCCTCACTTTCCGTTCCTGCATGGCTGAGAAGCCGGACCCACATGTCTTGCCTCTTCTGGCAAACCTTTCGCCCATTGTCTTCTGCAGTGTTGGTTCTTTACACACACACACACACACACACACACACACACATACACACGGACACGGCCGTTGCCGTCGTCACAAACAATCACGAAAAAGGATACGATCCGGACAAGGTCCGCGGCGGCGAACCATTGATTGTTTCTAGGGAGCGAGGGGGGCTAAATGTCCTAGACCAGCAGCATGGGTCCATCACCATGATTCAGAGATTGATCAGATCCTCTTCCAACAGCCGGTTGCTTGCGGTGTAGTAGGACAGGCAAGCTGTGTCTGTTTCGACTTGTGCGGACGGGTCGGTTCTAGACGTACGATGAGAAAGAGTCAATGTGACTGTACCTCTGGGCCACTGCCGCTGCCCATTAAGAGAGAGCACATATAGAAGTATTGCCATTATCTTTTTATCTTCCTCTTCGGAGCCGCTCCTTGTCTACCTTCCTGAACCCGCAGCCGGACCCAGGAGGGTATAACCACAGACCTTGTCAATAGCAGAATATGGGGATATCCATGACAAGGCCTCACGGATGGCCTTTCAGCAGACGGTCGCCAGGATGTCTCCCGCTGATGTACATCGTTCTAAAAAAACCAACGATCCTGAAGCGCACACGCTTGGGTCTTGCACACGGCCGGGTCTCTTCTCTGCTCCCCCCCTTCCTCTAGCGTCCCGCGTTGTGTGCGGGTACTTAGGTACATGCTCCCCAGCGCAACCATCCCAGCCAGTGCGAGCACCGTCAGGGGAACTGTACGTTGTGCATTGCTTGGTCTTGCACCGGTATTCGTGGTTGCAGCATGAACCAGACCATTCAAGCCACCTCTGGAAGACCCAATCAGTGGCCTGAGACTGACGACGAAAGTGACCGTCTCATCAACCGCCAGACGCCGCTAGCCAAGCATCTTCAACGGGATCAGGATAGCAAATCGAGAGATTTTCCCCTGTTACATCTTGAACAGGAGTTGGGAAAGGCGGGGTGGGAAGGACCGTTTGGTAACGCTTCTGTATTCGCACTGCGTCTTCGTTTCCATTTGAACCTCGATGGGGAAGTCGACTGCCAAAGTAGACAGACCAAGGCGGAAAAGATACCGGCATGACGAAAGACGGCGGTAAAGCTTTGGAGGCAGAGAGTTGCCCGGCAAAGGAAGATGTTCCCAGAAAAATAAAAGCGAAAAAAACCCTCCGCCGCTCGACTATTTCCTGGAACGTACCCCCTGGGTCTTTTCATTCCCCAGTTTTTCGATTCCATGCCATGGATGAGGGTGCTCCCCAGCAGCCCGTTCACTGAATCCAGAACCCATGCTCACCATCTCCGGTCCTGTGCCTGCCATTGCTTGTCGCTACCTTGGCAAAAAAAAAAAACTCTCCCGGCACACCCCTCCTAATGGGGTGAGCGGATGGGTGGGATCATGGATGGCGCCAAAAGTTGCATCCCAGCCCAACGGCACGAATCTTTTCTCAAGATTGGTCTTGAGTTTTGACTGCGTTTTCTGGGTCTCTTGAAAAAGACAAGGTAGGGTTCGACGGGCAAGCGTAATACTAATCCCGCCAAAAAATCGATGATGGGCATATCTGCACCGGGATGGAAATGAGATTCCCCTGGGACTATCGAGATTGGGTCCGGCGCCCGATTTTAACCTTTGGAGACAAGCTCGCGCGACGATGGAAGGGGCGGCGAATGATGGGGACCTAGGGGGATCGACTGCTAGACATCTCGGGGGCTTTTAGGAGGGGGAGGCGCCGCGGGGGGGGGGGCGGGGGCCGGGGGCCGGCGCGTCTGGCGGGGGGGGCCGACCCGTCGGGCGTGGGAGGGGGGCGGGCGGGAGGGGGGCGTGGGGGGAAGACGTGGGAAGCGGCGGGAGGGGGTGTGTGGGTGGGGTGGGGCATTGAGGCCCGAGGGGGCTGTGTTGGATGTCTCTAGGGGCGGCCGGGCCGGCGCCCCCCCCCTTTTTTTTTTTTTTTTTTTTTTTTTTTTTTTTG